TAGGTAACAGTTCCGTGCCGATACCGACGCAACGTTCCGGGTGGGCAGCATCGATGTTGACTTGGGCGATAAGATCGCTCTTCGGCTGCTCGTCGTGATGAATGATCCGTGGGTCGAAGTCACTACTTCTACCGATCATGAACGTTGATGCCTTTCGAGCGCGCTTGTTATCGATGTAACAATGTCGGGACACTGTCTGGTCGCCACGGATGGTGATGATACGGTCCCTGATCGGCATCTTGATGCATTGATGGTAAGGAGAAGGGACGGCTTGCATGGCGTTCAGCCATGGTGTTCCAAGGATGGCATTGTAGATCGCAGGTCGGTCAATAACCTCGAATTTGATCGTAATTGACTTCCCGCGTATGGTGATAGGCATCGTTATAGTTCCTATTGTCGAAATCGAGTCTCCAGCGAATCCTGTGAGTGGTGATGGTGCGACTTTGATGTCCCGCTCGGGGATACTCATCTTGCGTAGAGTATCCATGAAGATGAGGTCGACCGAACTTCCAGTGTCGATCAACACTTTGGAGACGTCGTCCTCTCCGAGTCGTAGTGAGATGACAAGTGGATCGTTATGAGGTCGGTCTATGTCATGCGCATCCTTCTCTGTGAATGTGATCGGTAGGTCGTCCTTGAACAGTGGTGGTGCATCCTTCGGAGGATTGGCTGCCTTCCGTTCGTGCCGTTTAATTAAATTTATCGAGTCGGTGCACGAGGGGAGACCTCCCATGATCATGTTGATCCGCCGACGTGGTGAGCTTGGAGGTGTGTGATCGTCTTCACGGTCACGCTTTGCTTCCTTGCCCTCGCATTTAGAAGAGCGATCAGTATTATCTCTTCTATCGCGATCGTCATCGGGTCGCCTATCCTCTTCGTCGGATCGTCGTGAACTCCGGGGTTCTGGAAGGGTGATCTCGCCATCGTCCCACCTCTTCCTCAAGAGGGCTGGGAGGGTGCAGCAATCATAGGTATGATGACCGTGCGCCCTATGGTATTTGCACCATGGCTTTTTGCTGTCGGAGTCTCTGTTGCTCGAGCGGTCCCACACGTTCCATGGCTTTTTTGGTCGTCCAACTGTGATGATGCTCTTGCGATTCTTGTCATCCTTGTCGTAGTGCTGACGGGGCTCTTTGTAATCTTCCTGACTCGACGATCTGCCTTTCTTGTCGCGCGAAGATTTCTCATCGGCCAACTTGGCCTTGGCCTTGGCTTCCCGATCCTCTTCGACTCTGATGTACCCGGATGCCTTGTGCAAAGCATCCTCGAGGGTTTTGGTTTTTTCTGTCTTTAATCGTTCACAAAACGATGAATCATCCTTCAAATTCTTGATAAGAATGTTGAAACACAGTTCGTCTGACAGACTGCACTGGGAGACGATTGATCGGAATCGATCGATAAAATTGCACAGCAGTTCTGTGTCACCCTGGACGCATGCCCATAGATCGAGCGCTGTGGACTCCGTGTCGATGTAAATCGAATAATGCTTCAGGAACCGAGCTGTGAGCTCCTTGAAGCTGTCGATGGAGTTTATGGGAAGCTGTGAGAACCAGGTGAGGGCGCTTCCGGAGAGCGTCTCCACAAAGTATTGACAGAGGCAAGCTTCCCGTTCCTCATCAGTGAAGCGAGCACGTCCCATGACTGCGTTGAACGCGGTCAGGTGTCGCTTCGGGTCTGTCGTGTCGGAGTAACTCGGAGGTAGCTTCATCCGACCTATGTCCTTAAGAGGAGCATTGGTGATAGCTGACGTGAACGGGGTTTGCTGTGTTTCCTGAAGGATCTTATCCAACTCGAGCGCTGAGGTCGTCGCCTTGTGGATCTTGCTGTGGATATCATCAAGGCGTTGGTGGAGAAGATCGAGTTCCGAGGTTGTCGTCGGGTCGGTTCCTGCAATATTGCAAGATGAGCGGGCATGCGAGCCGTCTGCCTGTGCTCTCTGTAAGTCGTCCGTCGGTGTCGTGCCAAACAGGTTGTTGACCAGCCTGGTCGTATCTGTGTTGCGGATGGAAGGGCGAGGGGGAGTGATAAGATCGGCCTGCTCTTGGGTATGAACCCTAGAGTTTATAAGCCGATCCAAGTCTTCTCTGTAAGCTATCTGCTCGGCACGGAGGGACTCGAATCGAGCATCCATCCCCTGTTGCAACTGTGCTGCAACCGACCTGATGATCGTGGCCATGTCGACGGGAGGTGGCTGTGGCAGGCTGGTCGTGTTTGTGCCACCCGTCTGACCGACCTGGTCTGTTCCCCCCGTGTTCTGTGTGGTAGTTGTGTTGTCTTCCTGATCGGTCTGGTGGGCCACCGGAAGCCTTGTGGCTAGGTTGATAATCGGATCCTGAATGTTTCTTGTCGGATCGGAGGCTCCTGTGAGGTCGGTAGTGTTGATCGGTGTTTGAACCATCTTTAAACTCCGTTCTAAGTCAAAGATTACTCTTTTATTCCCCTCAGACGGCGCCAACTGTAAAAACTCAAGTTCGATCTACGAAAGAACTAGGGTTTGTGGGTTTAAAAAGGTCTTTTATTAGAAGAAGCCGGAGCTTGAATGAATACACAAGGGTTTAGGTCGTCGGAATAAGAACGCCGACCTAAACTTTTATAGAAAGTAAATCGAAAGCTAGAACAATCAGATTGCTTAGTTTGCCCTAGATCTCGATATATGATTTTTTGGATGGATTGAGGAGTCGAGGACTTCCTGCATTTATAGCCGATCAGGTCGGTCTTCGACCTGTTTGGAATAGGAAACTCTTGTCGGCAAGAACGAGTTTCCTTTTTTTTCTGAGTCGCTCGATAAATGGAAGATTTCTTTTTATGTCGCCGACCTGAAACTTGTTAGACGGGCCGACCAGAATCCATATCGGGCTTGTTAGAGACGGTACGGATCTCATCTCTAACATTCCGGTTTTAAAAGAGTTCAGCGTAATTCTAGTGGTCATTGACAGGCTGAGAAAATACGGCCACTTCCTTCAGCTGAAGCATCCTTTCACGGCCAAGACAGTAGCTGAAGCATTCATTAGAGATGTTGTCAAGCTGCACGGGTATCCGAAGACCATGGTGTCGGATCAAGATAAGGTCTTCCTCAGCAGTTTTTGGTCGGAATTGTTCAAACTGCAAGGGACCTCCTTACACAAGAGCACCACATACCACCCTTAGACCGACGGGCAAACTGAGGTAGTTAACCGATGCTTGGAATACCTTCGTTGTTTCGCAGGAAGAAGACCAACTTCGTGGGTGCAATGGTTACTGTAGGCAGAGTACTGGTACAATACATCGTACCATTCCTCGAGCAAGCACACACCATTCTTTCTGGTTTATGGGAGAGAGCCACCATGCTTAGTGAGGTATGGTGATACACCAACGACGAATGCAATGGTAGAGGATTTTCTATGGGACCGAGACAGTTTGTTGGAGGAGTTGAGGGAAAATTTGGAGTTAGCTCAACTCAAGATGGTGAAGGGAGCTAACAAACATCGCCGAGACGTGGAGCACAGTGTGGGAGAATGGGTTCATCTGAAGCTACGTCCCTACATACATAAGTCAGTGGTGCAGCGCCGCAATGAGAAGCTGGCACCACGCTTTTTTGATCCCTACCGCGTATTAGAAAGGATCGGAAGAGTAGTTTACAAGCTCGAGCTGCCAAAACACAGTAACATCCACCCTGTTTTTCATGTTTCCCAGCTCAAAAAGGCAATTGCAACGTCTCAGGTTGCTCAAGAACTTCCTGCTATTGTCAGTCCTGCGTTGGAATGGGTTACTGAACTGGAAGAGTTACTGGATACTCATCGAGTAGAGTCGGGTGATGAAACGAAAGTGTTGGTTAAATGGAAGGGGTTACCTGAGTTTGGGAATACCTGGGAGAAATTGGTTGATGTTGCAGGACAATTTCCGGACATTAACCTTGAGGACAAGGTTGCTTCTCTCCGGGAGAGTATTGATAGGTTGAAAATTCCCTTGGCCTTCATAAGAAAGAAGCAACGGTCAAGAAGAAGGAAGGTTCGAGAGTTGAAGGAAGCAGAAAGTGGCTAAAAGAGAATGAAGACAGGGGAAGCCTCTTTTTGAGAGAGAGGTTTCAATATTATTAATACTATGATGTCGTTTTACTGTTGCAACGAATATATAAACAGTGAACCCGTTTTTAGGGTTTATTATCTTCTGAAAGATCAAACATTTAATCTAACTTCTTTCCTTATCTTCTCTTCTTCTCTTATCTCTTAATCTATTTCTATTTCCGAGTTATCATACAACATCTTGGTAAGGTTCAGTCTTATCAGAACGCACCTAAAGTAGCTCACCACACGCGGTGGATCAACAACGTCGTTAACCGGAAGATTCAGCATCTCCATGTTACGGACATAACCTGGGAAGAAGACGATGATGTTGAGATGCCTCCAAGGGTTTACACATGCGAGAGCTTGGTATCGTTAAAGCTCTCCAGCTTTACACTGTCTAATCCCAAGGTTGTTTGTTTACCTACTCTGAAAGCCATAGTTCTTTATATGGTTAAGTTCACCAACGATTCGGCTTTAGAAACGGTCATCTCAGGCTGCCTTGTGCTCGAAAGTTTATATATAGATAGGAGTCCCAATGATGATGAAACTGAAGTTTTAACTGTTCGTTCTCAGTCTCTGTTGAGGTTCAGTTTTGATTACCCTGCAGAGGTGGATTTCAATGAACATCTAATGGTTGCAATAGATGCTCCTAAGCTTCTGTATTTGAGGCTCTGTGATGACCGAACCACCAGTTTTATACTAGATAACATGGTCTCCCTTGTGAAAGCCGATATCAACGCTCTGTTTAACTTGGATCGGGTGAAGAGGTTTAATCCAAATGATCCACAGAAGAGTTCTACGATTCATAAATTTCTCGCTGGGATCTCTGGTGTCCAAGATCTGATCATGTCATTGGGAACTCTTGACGTCATTTATGATAACTCAAGATGTGAGTCACTACCTTTGTTCAAGAACCTATCTTTCTTGCAAGTTATGTTCCTTAGCTACAAGTGGGAGATGTTGCCAATCATTCTTGAGAGATGCCCCAATCTAAAGTCTCTTGCCGTGGTGAGGAATTGTCCATTAAACCATAAGGTTTCCTCATCTTTAAGATGCAAAGCTTAACTTGTGTTTCCTACACTTGGTTGTGTATTGTATATGCAGCGAACTTTATACTACGAGGAGAAGGAAGGGATTCATATTTTGCCTGAACCTGGGCGTGTCCTAGCATCTCTCAAGTATGTCAAGATAGAAAGACCATTTAAAGTGGTGGCGGTGAAGCTAGTGAGGTACTTACTTGAGAACTCAATGAACCTCAAGAAACTCACTCTGTGCTTGGGTGGTTTCAAAAAGGACGAAGAATCTGTTGTCGTCAAGGAACTTCTTACCATTCCAAGACTCTCTACCTCATGCCAAGTGGATGTTCTTTGATCCTAGCCATTGACTATGGACATACAAAGGCTTTTCTGTTAGTACTTAAGAGTTAAGTGTAAAACTTGAGATCATATGTTTTGGCTTAAATTAGCAATCACTAAACTAAATAATAAATCATTCTTGGAGTAGGAAAGATAATATATTCCAAATAGAAATCATCAAGATAATATATACCATTATTGGCTAGATTGATAAAATAAAAACTACACTAAACTCTTGCTTAAGGATCTTTCTTTAATCAAAATCTAAAACCTTGTGAGTCCACTTCCCGAATGATTTCACTTAATTCTAGAGGTGGGCACTTCAGTTTTCGGTTGATTTTATGATAAATATCAGTTTTATAAAAATTGAAATCATATAAAAATTATATATATTTTGGTTTGGTATAGTTCGGGTTTTTTTTTAGTTTTTGGTTTTTTTAATTTTTAAGAAAATAAAACCATATAATACATATATGTAATATATGTAACTTGTTTCGGTTTGGTATGGTTTAGTTTCAATTTTGTTTTTGAAATTATACTATTACAAAAAAATTAATTTAAACTAACAAAAATAATAATAATAAATATGAGTGAAATAAAACAAAATATTCAAAAAAAAAATAGAATCCAAATCATAAGAAATCCATCAATAAAAACTAAAATTATAAAAATTAAAAACTAAAAAAAAATCAGATTCTTATCAGCCACTATTTTTTGTCTCCTCATAATATTTATAAATCTCTGATATACAAAATTTATAATATATAAATATTTAGAATAATTTAAATTTATATAAAATCTAAATATACTTATAATGTATTTAAACACTACAAATGAATCAAATTTGAATATCAACCATGAAATAAGAACATATTTTAAAACAGTAAAACAAACAAAGTATCAAATCTTTCAAAATAAATAACTAGAAAACAATAAATAGAGATAAATTAAAATTAAATATCTAGAAAGTTAGAACTAGAAGACTTGAATGTGAAGAAGGACGAGTTAACCACAAACGTTTTTTTTTTGTTTTATTGAAAATCATGATTTACAAATTTTTATTATTTATATGTAGATATTTTTTTATAAATATTATATTTTAAATCTATGAGTTAAGTTGGTAAATTATAGAGAAAATTAAGCCTAATAGTAAAGAAAATAAAAATACATAAATTATTTAAAATTTATTTCTGAAAGCAAAAAAATCATTTGGTTAGACGGTTTTTAACCAAACCAGCCAAAACCAATTTTTTTTTAAAAAAAACTGATAACAAAATAGACTTTTAAGTTTAACCATAACCAAATCATATCACTTTTTCGGTTCAGTATGAATTGGTTTTTTTAGTTACAGTTTTTTTCCCTCCCCTACTTAATTCTTACATAAAAAGAATATCATGAAAAGTATAAGATAGAAAGTTTTCTCAGATCTGTTTAATGAATTGTGTGAATGATAAAAAAAAATAGCAACGTGAAAAATCTATGTACTACTTACTATTAAACCTCTTAATTTTCATTTTTTTCAGTCCTAGAAGTTTAAACTTTTCTTTTTTCAATCCTACATATTTGAACTATTTATATGCTAATGTTATAAAGAAAAGGGAGTAACAAAAGGAAAATTTTGGGAGATATAATCACAAAATATATAATAACTAGTAACTACAGTGTTATAGATAATAGAAATATCATATAACAAATATTTTAAAAAAGAGAAAAGTGAGTTATTTTTGTTCTGTCTTTTTTTCCTTTAAGTATATTAAAGAAACGAAGTTATAAAATTCAACTATATAAATCAGATAAATCACAGTTTTGTAAAAATTACATAAAATATATATGGGCGCCAACTACTTCAAAATCAGTTATGATTCTACCTAAGAGTTTTGTTCTTCCCCAATTAGCGAGAATGCTTGTGAACATAAACCTTTTGTCAAAAAAAAAAAGAAGAATGCTTATAAACATGCTGAACGGGACTTGTAGCTATTAAAAACGTAAGAGCTAGACATATATATATATATATATATATATATTAGATGATCGGTCTGCATCGTATGCAGGCTATAAAACGTTTTACATGTTTATTATGATTAATATAGTATTGAAGATATTTTATTTATATATAATTAATTATGTATTGATAATAAATTAATAAATATGTAATAATAAAAAATAAAGATAAATTAAATATAAAATATTCCATATTCCAAAAGAAAATAAAGATAAAAATATTAACTAAAATTTTAAAATAATTATTTTGATAAAAATGTAAGTATGATAACTAAATAAACGGAAAATATTAAAATATATAAAATAATTTTTTTTTACCTGCACGCATATGCAAGTATAATTTTTTTTATAAACATAATTAGTTGTAATATTTAAATATTGATTAATTTTTTTATACATTATGTAAATGTTATATTTTTATATATATATAATTTTATTGTTTAACAACAATCGCACAAATATTTCATATCGTTTTGTATCTTTTGAATTTTTTTTATTTTTCCTAGCGTTTACAGTAACATATAATTGCAAATGTAAAAGTTATATTAAATAATAACTAAACTCTTATAATCAAAGTTTCTTATTTTTCAGAGTTTGATGATATCCGGTTTCTTAATAAAAATATAATAAAAGTTTATTATAAAATTTGTGAAATCATATTTTATAAAATTCTCCAGTAGCTCTCTGCTCATCTCTTCGTCAAAGTTTTTATAATCCACAATCGCCCACTTCCACAAACTCTCTGTAACCAAATCGTTTGAACCAATCAGATCTAAACTTATATGTGTATAATTTAAGATGTAAAATTATATATTTACTATTTGATTGTTATTAGAAATTAAGAATTGATTTGTTCCTAATTTTAATATATTTGTTAATATAAAATATAACGGATCACAACATATACAAAACTTTTTCATGAGTTAATGTTTTAATATGTCAGAAAAATATATGCATGAAATAATTAATCTATGGAAGATAATATTTTTAAATATTTCAAATAAAAACTTAAAATTGGTCAAAATTATTCTTATTAATTATTTTGTCTTCTCTGAATCATAATTTTTTCTTTTTAACATTTAATAATTTATTGAACATTAAGATCATCTCTAATGTATTTTCTATTTTTTCCTCTAAAATATAATTGAACTTCTCTCAAACCTATTTCTATTTTACTGGGAAAAAATTTGTTATTTTTTCCTCTATAATTGGAGGAAAAAATAACAGCCTTTTTTTTTTCTAAATTAGAAGATTTAAAATAAAGGTGGGTTGAAGATGCTTTAAATCAAAAATATAGTTTGAGATTTTTACATAAAGCCAAAGTCATAAAAATTCATTTTTATTTTTTATTTTACTTTTTATTCATATATATAATATTATAATAAAAAATTAGTTAAGATGATACTTATAATTTATTCTTTCTATCTGTTTATTTTTTTGTTTCATTTATAATTTTAAATTTTTGCCATATAATGGGAACTCATTCATATATGATATAAACCATTTTTTTTATTTAAAAATGAGATTTATTTAATTTTAACTTAACCAATCAAAATATTTTGTTTATTTTAGAAAACTTATCATGTCACATTTACGAGGTGACATTATTTTGCACTAATTTTTCTTAAGGTGTGATACATATGATTTTTTTAGTAAATCTACTTCTCAAATAATAATTAGGACTATGTAATAACTTTAACCCTCTGCGGGGTGAAATAATTATTATTTATTTTTATTTAATATAATTTTAAAATTATATAATATAATTAAATTTATATAAATTTTATATAATATTATACTATAACATTGACAATGTAGTTTTATTTTTTATTTTTGATAAAATATAAGATAATTTAATTGTAATGTAAATTAATTTTAAAATTAAATAGCATGAATAACACATGATATAGCAGGGTAAAAATACAAAGTTACCATATAGGTTTTCTATATCTCGTAATTGATGATATGATTCATTATTTTCACCAATGTCTAAGATTTGGGCATACAATATTTATATACTAATTAGTTTTGAATCTTAAGTAATTAAATATTATTAGTTTAATTGCTTACTTATCTATTAAATATTATTACTTAAATAAATTAAGAAATTTTCCTAGTTCCAAATTGGACTTGTTCAAAATATGATACAAATCGATAAGATAATTTTTTATAGGAAAATCGATATAAATATATGGTTCTATTAATATCATGAATTAGTAATTACCATAAAATAATTTTATATAAGTATATAACTATGATAATTTACTAAAATATAAATATTTAATAGTTTAATTTTTAAAAAAATTGAAATAATGTTATGGTTTATCTATAATTTAAGAGTAAAATATTTAAATATATCATTAATTTTTAAAACAAATATAATTTTTAATAAATAATTTATTTAATTTCAAACTGATAAATTTATAATTCTATCAATTAATAAAATATTGAAATCACAAGATTATCAATTTATAAAAAATTAAAGTAGTTAAATTGATTCATTTAAAGCCGACAAACTAAGCAAAAAAAAAAACCTGAACAAATCTTGCTGAAAATTTAATACTGTATATGATAAATCAAACATTAATTAAAAAATAAATAATTAATATTGATGTTATCTTACCAAAAAAGAAGTAAGCAATAATGCTATATACCATATTTGTCATCTAAAAGTCATATATAAATTAAACCATAATACAATATATCATATTTCCTTATATAGTAAATCTGAATATTAATAATATCTATAATAATAATTTTAAAAATTCGTCATTATAATTTTTTTTTCTTTTAATTGATGCTTGTGACGAAATTAACATATACTTTTAATAATATATTTGTGTATCTATTATTATGAATTGTTAAAAAATATAAACTTAATAATATTTAGCTTGAAGTATTATATATGTTTTCACAATTATTTTCATGCATGCTATAATTAAAACAATATATGAATAAAATTATTATGGCTTTCAAAATTAAGTTTTGAGAAAAATAAAATATTATTTTTAATCATTCTGTTGTATTTATAAGAATATTTTTAATAAACAGTTAATAAATATATTTTCTAATAAAAGTAGTAAGCATTAGTAAAGTGTTATATATTTTTTTATGAATTTGAAGAAAATAAAAATATCACTTTTAATTTTTCAGTTGTTTTTGTAAGAATATTTTTTTATGAATAATCAATAAACATATATTTTTTAAATGTAGTAAACATTAAAAGTATTATATATTTTGCTATGAATGATAAAAATAGTAAACATTGAAAAATATTATATAATTTATTATGGATTTATAATAAAATATATATGGATAATATTTTAAAAATATTATATAATAAATTTCGTGTATATTATAATTAACATTAAACAAATTTTATTTTATTAAATTATTAATTCTAATATTATTGTATTTGAATTTATTTAAAAAATAAAATATGTTATATTTATGTACCTAAAATATACAGTGACATATCATATAATTAGTCTAGTAATCTAAATTTTTTTAAAAAAATTAGCACATCAGCATAATGGCACTATAAATACTTACAAAAATAAGGTTATTCATTAAAAATGCTTTTCTTTTAATATATAGGGGATATCAAAGCATGCTAGCTAAATTTATCGATTTTAAATTATTCGATCTCCGAGTTCTTAAATAAACCAACTTCCATCAGTATTTGCACAACTGTATTCGACCTAACATGACTTTGACTATCTTATTATATAATTTTGCAATCGACCTTCAAGGCTTCAAGTGACATCTAATGTTTTGAAATATGCTATAGGCATGTTATCGAATAAAGCATATGTTCACGTATAATAAATTATATGGTGGATATATGAAAATAACTAAACATAAAAAAAATTAAGATGTACAAATTTTATCACAAAAGTTTACATTAAAAAGGTAATACGTAAAACTTTAGAACTAACAAGTAGCAAGTGCACGTCAATTTGCATAATAGATCGTGGATATGACATTTCGAGATGTAAAAAAAACAAACAAACTTGGGGAATTAATCTGTAGCTAGCGCGATTTATGGTTTTTGGTTTTCTAAATACTAAGATTGATCAAGTAAGCAGATAAAATATAATAAAAGTAACCATAGACTACTAATCAAGCGACGAAAAACGTCAAACAATTGCAACATTTATGATTTTTTATTATTATTATTATTGACCGATCGTTTACGAACGATTCCAAAAGAACACATCAACTCCAAGAGAAACTAAACAAATAACCTAAATAATAAAACTGAATAAAAAAATAGTTTATGGTGTCTTATATTTTATGATGTCCTATATTTTAGATCAATATCTAAATTAAGACATTAGTGTTTAAATCAAGAACGCACACGTGGCAAGCTAGAAATGGACGATGAAAAATTACAGTTTTTGAATTGCACTTTATAATTTATATGTTTTCATGTATTATATTTTAAAAATGCATTATGTTTTAAAAGTTGTTAACAAAAGTTTTTATTTAAAGTTATTAATATATATATATATATATTTGTTTTTAAAATATCTATCAAAAGTGTCTCCATTGTATGCTCTAAAAACAACAAAATACTACAAAATGTCTTATATACATAAAGTACACAAAATATTAATACCTAATTAATAAGACCAACACTAAGGTGTCTCTATTCAGTTTGCTCTAATGCAAAACAAAATGCTAGAAATTTGAAGGTCATATATACTTGTCTGTCTTATAGTATAAATTAACGCGCATGAAACAATTAGTTTTATTTTTCTTTTCGCTCCAAAGATATATGAAAGCCAACACAATCTTACCGTAGAATGGGTTTTCATATATTCAGATTTTTCCTTATTATTCTCGTCGCAGTTTTCATCTTCCATGGATCGTGTTATTCCGATGAAGGTACAATACTTGTTTCCTACATAGGTTTCATCATGCAATATATGTGATTGATATGTTGAATTTAAGATAACTCTTAGTATTCATTTCAGTATTCATTAATTTTGTTTTTCGTGAAGCTGGACGCTATACATTTATGAAAGATGCAACACTAGCACCAACTTATGCTAGCTTTGACTACATAATCATCGGAGGAGGAACCTCAGGTTGTGCATGAAGCAACGCTCTCTCAAAACGCCAGCGTTTTGCTTCTTGAACGCGGCGGCTCTCCCTATGACAATCCAACGGCCATGGACATCGGAAACTTCGGTAACACACTTTTAAACATCACACATAACTCATGGTCGCAGCTCTTCATCTCCAAGGACGGCGTTTGATGTACTATGATTTTACTGATTTCTAACTGGTTTTCAAAAGTTTTTATCGAGTCTTTTTAGTGTTTTTAGAGTTTTTACATGTCAAAACACGTTTGGATGGATTCTAAAGCAATGCAAATGAAGAAATGAAGAAAATGAGCAAATTCAGTCTTTTTCGGAGTGCAGATCGATCGGTTCTATATTGGATCGATCGATCCAAAAGAAGCGAGGAAACAAGGTTTTGACCGAGAGATTTTAGATCGATCGATCCAGGAGGGATCGATCGATCCACAAGCCGAAGATTTCCCCGTGGGATTTTAGATCGATTGATCCCACACTGGATCGATCGATCCGCTTGGACGAAGTTTTCCCGAGACATTTTAGATCGATCGATCCAGGAGGGACCGATCGATCCGATGAATCCAAGTTTTTCCCGTGAGTAATTAGATCGATCGGTCCACTTTGGACCGATCAATCCGATGTCTTAGCCACCCGGTTTGGTCGCACAGAAAAATAAGGAAATTTCGGTTTGCCTATTTCGACTTGGTTTTCCATAATTTTTCATCTAGCTCGTGTCTAGACCTATAAAGACTTATTTTTCAGCCATTGTTTAGGCTACTTTTATTTTCTATTCAGACTTAGAGATTTTGGCAATTTGTGAGTTTTGGGGAGACGATCTTTGTACTTTGCATCTCTGAGAAGATTTCTGAACCCCAGTTGATTTCTATTTTATTATTTATGAATTTCTCTTCATCTCTTTGCTTTTCTTCTTCTTCCATGTCTGAGTAATCCACCAGTTAGGTTTAGGGTTTCAATGGGATTATGAATTATTGAATCAGACATAGATAGGGTTATTTCAATTGTTGTCTTCATTTATCGTTGATCTCATTGCTGAAACTTGATTAGCTACCCAATTTCTGATTCTAGGTTGTTTAGCACACCAAAAGTGTTTGTTTAAAAGCCTGAAAGAACATAGATGAGCAGACTGTCCTTAAACCAACGAAAGCTGATGTTAAGGCAATCTGTGAACGAATCGAACCTGATCGCTAATGCCTGTTTACAATTCTAAGTTTAAACGACAGTTTAGAATCTTAGGTTGTTAGATAGAGTCTTTGATACCACGACAGTGGATTAGCTATACATTCATGTTTGAGTTCAAGACTGTGCTTATCTGCTCCCTGAATAATTGTCTGGTTCATGATATCTGATCACTGCGAATTGCCTTTTACCTAACGCCTGTTTTTAATTGATCTTTTATTGAATTTGATTGTCATTTTCGTTTTGCATTACATTCAACAGTCATCATATTATCTTAGCTCCACTTCATTCATTAAGAATCATAGCCAGTAACCTTGGTCTCTATAGATTCGATCCCATCTATATTACTGCGATTGTATGTGCACTTGCAGTCTTTTATTTGGGTAAAATCTAAGTGTATCAGCATTTACAACATACTGCCACCTGTCCTCAGTGGAGGCACGGTGATCAACGGGGGATTCTACACACGTGCGGAAGATGGGTACGTGGAGGAAGCCGAATGGGAGATCGATGAAGTGGAAGCTGCGTAGGAGTGGGTCGAGAAGAAACTTGTGTTCGAGCCACGTTTGATGGGATGGCAAACGGCGTTTGTAGATGGGCTTTTGGAGGCTGGCTTGAGTCCGTATAACGGTTTCACTTACGATCATATCTACGGGACGAAGATCGGTGGTACGATCATTGACGGCGCCGGTCATAGATAAACGGCGGCGAATCTGTTAGAGTATGCTAATCCCAATAATCTGGTTGTATACTTGCACGCTTCTGTCCATAAGATCCTCTTCACCACAACAGGTATTGTTTCATCTTTATTATTTTTTCTTTCTCAAGAAGTTCCATAATCTTTAAGGGTCAGGGATAAATGTGGATTCAGATATTCTCCAACAGGGTTGAGAACTAAGAATGCAATAGGACCAACTATACGCGTAACCACTAGCTTACATCGTTATACATTATCTTTTAACGAGCATTTTTTTAATTTTTAAAAAGCATTTTAGTGTCATCATTTATTGCAAATCTTTTAGTAAAATACTAGAAAAGTCTGTTTTCAAACACATTTAGTAAACTTTCGAATTAAATTATATTTTTGTTGAATTAAGAAATATACGTAGCATCTTTTAAGAACGCTTACCAAATGATATTTGGAAAAAGGTTCTGATAAACGTATTCGTAGGAAGAATGCAAAGAAGAAAACACGGAAGAAAGTATATTTTTAAAACTATATATTTATGGTAGATGGGACACAACCCGACGCATTGACTATATTTTATCATAGATGAAAATTTTAACTAGTTTCAACTTTTTGTTGTTTTAAAGTTTGCTCGATCTGGTGACCAGAAGTATGTACATATATAATCATTTGTATTAGTTTTTTTTCTTAGCTTCTTTAATTTACGATTGATTTTTCCAATATTTTTTTGTTTCTTAAAGTATGTAAAAAAATTCAATAAGTACTATTTCTAAATATATACCTACAAAACATATTTGTTTACTCATATATTACGTGAAATATATATACCTACAAAACATATTATTTCTAAAGATAATGAGTACTATGTTTTTGTAGGTATGTATATATGTTTAGAAATTAACATACTATTTCTGAAAATATACATACTTTGTAATTTTCGTAATATATATGAGTTAAATTAATCGAATGAATTATTCTCTCTTTAATTTACTACATGAAAAAAACATTTTTTGATATAACAAAATGACATTAAAAAACAGGTAGTCAGAGACCAAAAGCGTATAAAGTGATACTTCAAGATGCGAATGGAGTGTTTCGCAAGGTAGGGCTAACAAATAACCCAATGAACGAAGTAATCTTGTCAGCTGGAGCCATGGGCAGCCCGCATCTGCTGATGCTGAGGGGTGTAGGTCCTATGCCCCATCTTGTGGCTCACGGCATTAAACCGGTGGTCTTAGATCATCCAATGATTGGGCAAGGGATGGGTGATAATCCCATGAATCCTGTCATCATTCCTTCTCCTACGCCTGTCGAAACGTCCACCATACAATCTGTTGGGATCACAAAATTTGATAGTTACATCGAAGGTGGAAGTAACGTGAGTCTCTCTTATGATTTGACCCGTAGGTTTTTCGATGGCGTTTTGAATCTCCTCAACGAGGTAACATTTAAAGATTATTATAGGTTACTTATCTATGAGATATATTGCCATATTGCTATTTAACTATGGTTGCATGACTCGCATTATACAGACAAGCCATACTGCATCTACGAAATTTTTTACCCAATCCATTGCGGACTTTTTAAAATCATTGGATATTGGATTTAAAGTGATGGGATGGTCCAAAAAGTTGCTGGACCGGCTTCAAGAGGTCACATGGAGTTTCGGAACACGAATCCAAACGATAATCCTTCGGTGACATTCAACTACTATCAAGAACCAGAGATTTGAATGCCTTCTCTAAGTACAAATATCCTGGTGTGACCGCACGTGAGCTGCTTAATGTCATGTTGGGCCTTCCCACTAATTTGAGACCGAGGCACGTGACATCAACGTTCAACTTGAAGCAGTATTGTATCGACACTGTGATGAGTATTTGGCATTACCATGGTGGTTGTCAAGTTGGAAGCGCGGTTGACAAGAATTACAAAGTTTTAGGCATTGATGCTTTGAGGGTTATCGATGGTTCCACGTTTCTCAAGTCTCCTGGAACTAATCCTCAAGCTACGGTTATGATGCTTGGAAGGTAAGTGTAAAAAAAATAAGTGAACAAATGCTTCATAACATGTTACAGATATTTTTAATAATATGATACTAACTGGAGTGTTATGTATAGGTACATGGGACAGAAGATTCTTCAAGAGAGAGCTGTTTTCCACCAAAATTAGGAAGGAGCTTAAAATTTTTATAAATCAAGATGTGCTCAACAGTCTGGTTATAGAATTGTAACAAAAATCGACATTGGAAGGAGTTGGAATTGCATTCTTTCTGAACCTCAAATAAAAAGGGCAACAAGGTTTATATTCTAACCTATAGTTATGTTGATTAGTACTTGACATTGCAATAAATATGGGAAAAGTTAGGAGAAAACGAAAATTTTTGTGTTTATTATAATTAATCAAAAGTAAAGAATTTTATGTTACAAAATATAATTACTTATATATTTTTTTTTGAACTTTTTCGTATGACTAGGTATATAATTCGAGCTACGCGCGAGTCTGTATTAATATTTTGGTTTATTTTTTTTAGCTGCTTTCTTTAAAATTATTAAAAATTATATATATTTATAGAAAGTTTCATTTATATAAGAGAATTTAATATATAATGTGTAATTTATCATATTTTTATTTATAAATTTAAAAAAACTATTTAGTAAAATAATAACAATGACATCTATCAAATTATCCAATTTTGACATACATATACATTTGATTTAGAGAAATATAACCTTGCTAATATTTTGGTATTATTTTCTGTTTTCCATAGAATTTCTATAGTTCTTTTTTTTCTTGAAGGTTTATATGTACAAATATGTAGTTTTTTAATTAAAAGTCTTATTGATCTTGTGTACTACTGCATATATAATCCATAATTCATGTTGATTCGCATTTAATTTTGTTAGGAAACTGTAATGATCATGCAAAACCATTTTTTCCTTCTCCATCATGTAGACCAAGAGTTTTATGTTATACTTTTATTCAGTTTTCATTATTTTAATTGTTAGATAGAGTTGTTGTAGATTTTTTTTTAAATTGATATGGTTACGTTTTTAAAAAACATGTATTGTTAATTGTTATTTTTTTTATTTAACTTTTAAAATTTTAAACCATATTTACATTTTTTGATTTAATAAATATGTTGATTTGGATCAATCAGATTGAATTTACTTTTTTTCCTTATTTTTTTATTATTATATATTTAATAAATATGTTAATTTAGATCAATCAGATTGAATCAGATCATGCAAAACTATTTTCTCCTTCTCCATCATGTATACCAAGAGTTTTATGTTATATTTTTATTCAGATTTCATTATTTTAATTTTTAAATAGAGTTGTTGTAAATTTTTTAAAATTGATAATGGTTACTTTTTTAAAAAACATGTATTGTAAATTTGGTTTTATTTAATTTTTAAAATTTTAAACTATATTAACATTTTTTTGATTTAATAATTATGTTGATTTGGATTAATAAGATTGAATTTACTTTTTTTTGTTGGATATAATTTGTTAAATTATCTTTTAATATTTTAATTATAGTTAATAATTTTTGGTTTGATTAAAAAGCTGATGTAGACCAATTAAATCAAGTTTTTTCATTCTAATCATACTTAACATTTTTTATTTAATGAATATGGTGATGTGGACCAATCAGATCAAATTTTTTATTCTTATGTGGACACCTTCAATATATTATGCCTTCAACTTTTATATATTATATGATGATGATTACTTATGTTCTTAACTCAGCTACCGTATTTCATATTTGTACTTTTTTGTGAAAAAGGAAATATCTGTTTCCTCTAAATATGATTTGACGTTACATTGTTGTGTAAAGTTGTTGTTTTCACTTGTTTAAGAGGAGCCATTAAAGAGGTGAATAACCATGTTGACAGTGCTGATAACCAAATTAAATCGAACCGGTTTTAGATGAGCATAATTCTAAACAAAACGTGAGATTTTTCTCTCCTTCTCCATCGAGAGAAATCCCTAAACGGACTCGAGAAAATCAGCCATCGGAATTTATATTCCACGACAAGGTTTCTCGATTTTCGCCTACTCTTTTTCATGCTGATTCGCGATTTCCTTTATCTTCACTCAAATCATTTTTAACGATTGATTATCTAGATTTTGTGGGAAGATTTTAATCGATTTCGAGGAAGAGTAAATGGATGAAAACAGAGAGAAGCGTGTTCGTCCCGAACGATTGGGTGATAGACTGAGCAGCTTGCCAGATTCATTGAGATTTGAGATACTTCTTAATCTCTCCACAAAGGATGTGGTGAAGACTAGTGTTTTATCTAGCAAATGGAGAATTCTCTGGTGATTCTTACCTGGTTTGGACTTGGATTTTAAATATTTCCCGGATCGAAACGCTTTTGTGAGTTTCATCGATACATTTCTGGGTTTCAACAGCGATTCGTGCATACAGAATTTCAAGCTAAGGTACGATTGGTGCGAGAACGCGCTTGATTTAGTTCAACACACGCGGTGGATCAACAATGTCGTTAACCGGAAGATTCAGCATCTCCATGTTCTGAAGATAACCTGGGAAGAAGACGATGATGTTGAGATGCCTCCAAGGGTTTACACATGCGAGAGCTTGGTATCGTTAAAGCTCTCCAACGTCACATTATCTAATCCCAAGGTTGTTTCTTTACCTTCTCTGAAAACTCTAGTTCTTAATACCGTTATGTTCGCCGACGATTGGGCTTTAGAAACGGTCATCTCAGGCTGCCCTGTGCTCGAAAGCTTATTTATAAAGAGGAGTCCTGATGATTTTACTGAAGTTTTAAATGTTCGTTCTCAGTCTCTGTTGAGGTTCAGTATGGTTTCTGACTGTGAGGACTCTGAAGAGGATTTGGATGAACATCTAGTAGTTGCAATTGATGCTCCTAAGCTTCAGTATATGAGGCTCCGTGATGGTCGGACCGCGAGTTTCGTACTAGATAATATGGTTTCCCTTGTGAACGCCGATATCGACGCTGTGTTTAACTTGATTCAGGAGGAGAGGTTTGACCCGAATGATTTACAAAAGAGATCTATGTTTCGTAAGTTTCTCGCTGGGATCTCTGGTGTCCAAAGCATGATCATCACGTCGAGTACTCTTGAGGTCATTTATGATTACTCAAGATGTGAGTCGCTACCTTTGTTCAAGAACCTATCTTTCTTGCGTGTTGGGTCCTTTGGCTACAAGCGGGAGATGTTGTCAATGTTTCTTGAGAGATGCCCAAACCTAAAGTCTCTTGCCCTGGTGAGGATTATCTACTAAAAAGTACTGAAGTATGCAAATGGTGAAAGTATCGTATGTTTAACTTGTGTTTCTTGCACTTGGGTTGTATTGTATATGCAGGGATATAGTAACTATGAGGAGAAGGAGGGGATTCATATTTTGCCCGAACCTAGGTGTGTCCTAGCATCTCTCGACGATCCACTACATATTATTTGAGAAGTAACATTATTGAAAATAGCTGACTTGTCAACACTACAGCCAAAGTTAGTGCTTTTAATTGATGACATGTAAATGTGACATGTCAAATTTCCTAAAATAAACGAAATATTTCGATTGGTTGAATTAAAATTATAGAAATTGTGGAATTAAAACATAAATAAACTAAATTATATTTATAACACAAAAATCAACAACTTTAAATTAACAGAAAATAAAAGCTATTATAATTTCAATTTTTTACATATATTCATAATTTCATAAAATATAATTACGAATTTTTTTCAACAATATATATATATATATTATAATTTCATATAAAAAATAATAATATTAAATTATTCAATAGAATAGTAAAAATTCTATTTATTGATAATACTTTAAGTATGATATATTTTTATTTCGGAAAGTTATTAATTTACAAAATATATTAATAACATCTAAAAAAGTTTTAAATAAACAAATTATTAAATAATATAATTTTAAATAAAATACAACCATGATAAAAAATAATTTAAAGAATAAAATGTTAAAAATAATAAAAAATAATTAACTTTTATTGAATTTTTTTTAAAACGTAATTTTAAATAATTTTTCTTTTCAAACCAATATTTACTAAATGAATAAAGTATATACTAATTACTATTTTATAATATTAATAGGACCATATATTTTTCTATAACTTTTATCATCTTTTTATTGTTGTTTTCTAAAATGTACATAACTTATGTTACCATCTCATCTTATCTCTTATCATATTTTAAATAAAAATAAAATTTTATATCATATTAATATATATATATATACATAAATTTATTTTCATTGTATATAAAAATTTTGAGATCATAAATGAATTGAAAAATAACCGAACGAAAGAATAAATTATAATAAGAAGAAATAATGTGAATAAAAAATAAAAATAGAAGTATATAAAAATGAATCTCTCGCCCTTTGTTTTGTAAAGTCACTTAAAAAAAAATTAACACGTAAAAGCCATATTTCATTTTTTTTACAAATACACGTACATACATAAATATTAATTGTACATTAGTTGAAATCACATGCGAAATTTTTCGTGCATGTATTTTGTTAAGATTGATTACAGTCTAATTTTTATTTTAATTATTATATAATTTATATTTTTAAAAAAATCTTTATCTATTCCAAGTGTACTGAGGTGGTTGGTATACCCGCATATGCATGCCAACCATCTATCCGCTCTTAGGAATAAGTAAAAATGGTAAAAACTATTTCAGTTTAATTTGCAATAAATCAAGAAAAATATATACTTAAAATATATTATATATGTATTAGCAAATTTATATTATGTAAGACGCACAAAAGCATATTGTAGATTGTGTAAGGAGAAATAAAGCATATTATAGAAATATTATAAGAATTTAATTATCATTTAACATAACTTTTATATTTGTGATTATATATTATTACAAGCATTATAAAAATAAAAAATTTTAAAATACATTTGTTTCAGAAAGAAGTTTGTGAAATATTAAAACAATATATATATATACAAATATACCAATGTTTAAAAAAACTAATTAATATTTAAATATCACAATTAATTATGTATATCAAAAAAAAAAATCCGCACATATGTGCGGGCCAACCACCTAGTGTTATAATATATAGGCCATTGAAAGGGGAGGCGAAGGAGATGGGACTAGTGAGGTATTTACTTGAGAACTTGATAATCCTCAAGAAGCTCATTCTACGCTTGGATGATTCCAGTATAGAATGAAGAATCTGACATCCTCAAGGAACTTCTTACCATTCCAAGACTCTCTCCCTCATGCCAAGTGGTTGTTCCCTGATCCTTCACAGTCATTGATTATGGACATAGTACAGTGTGAACTCTAATGCTTCTTCTTCTTTGTGGTGATTTTGATGTCATGTAAATCTTAAAGAACATATATTTTCTGGCTTAGATTAGTAATCACTACTTTTGAATCAAAAGATGGATGTTTTGGTTTAATCAAAATCGGTTTTGAGGACATAAGCGGTCACAGTTATGATGCATGGGCCTCCTGAAAAGTGGAAGCTCTGCAATGGAAATAATGATCTCCAAAAAGGAGAATCGGATGGAAATGAAAAGTTGAAATGAATGGAAATTGAAGCACATATTACCATTCAGAAGCCAAACTCACGAGTAGCACATATAGCGACAAGACCAAATGAAGATAGACCCTTGTAACCAAGATGTCAAGTGGATGCCCTCTTGGGTTAGGGATGGAAATACAACAGATGGAGGTCTCATACTGGAGTTGGAAGATGGTAGTCGACTATTTGGACTCGCAGCTAAAAAGAAAATTCTCTCACCCTTACATACCGAATTTAAAAGTACTCCTATGAACTATGAGAGTTTTACTTCCTATACAGATTTCTGGTTTGATAATTGAGATAGATTATTTATTATAGAATAAGAAGTGTTATCAACGAAATTATAAGGGTTAGAGTATTTGCGTTCTAACTTTCATAATCTTTTTATAATGTTTGTTCTGAGTATTTTTAATATTCGGGCTGATTGCCTTGTTAAAAACACTCAAATCCATTATATAAAATTTTCCCATTTAAACTTAATTTTTCTACAGTAGCTGACTTTTTAATTTCGCATCTTTAAATTTTAAATCTAATATAAAGAGTATTTCCTGTAAAAAAAAACGAATGGCCCTAAAATGTATTTAGAAAGGAGGATCGTGAGTTTTTGTTGTTCTGTTATTTTTGTCTTAAGTAAAGAAACGAATCATTAAACCTTTGTTTTCTTGTTAAATCGAATCGTTAAACATTTGAATTCAACTATGTAAATTAAATAAATTATAATTTTGTAGAAATATATGTAAAATAAATTTATTTTATTTTGTATGAGCGCCAAATAATTTCAAATTCGATTCTTTCCTACTTTCGTATGAACCTCTTCAAATAGTTGGCAATTAGAGAAAAACCGATCTTGAAATAGTTGGCGGCTTGGCGCTTATACGAAATATCACACAGAACATGTGTAATAAATAATACCCAATAAATTTTTTGATTTTATTCGATCTCCAAGTTTTCAAACAAACCAATTTCCAGCAATATTTGCACCTCTGTATTTCGACCTCACATGACACAACATGATTGGCCACTTTGTTATATAAGGACTTTATTAAAACTCTTCTTAGAATTGACTTTTACTATTTTCTTCTTATATAATTTGCAATTGACGTATCTAATGGTTTAAAATATAGAGATACGTTTCACGTATATAAATCCCCGTATAAATTATATGGTGGGTTATAAAAAATAATACGTAAAACTTTTAGAACTAAATAAGTGCACGGCAAATTGCATATAGTAGTACGTAGATATCAAAAGAACAAACAAACTTACGGAATTCAAGTTAATCTAGAGCGATGTATTGAGTCATGACAGTATGATTTTGGTCTTCTAAATACAAATAAACTAAAAATTAGGGAGGATTACTATACTAACTATGGAAAATAGGTTTATGATTAGAATGATCTAACTCTTTTTTTTTAATAATAGAATAACATAGCGTACCGATTTTACCTCTGAAGTCTTTGATGACAAAAAAACAGTTTTCAAAAATGCCATTACTTAAGTCTTCTATGTCATTTTAAGTTTTGGTAATAGACTTATTGGATCCGGTCAACGCTGAGGGAGAACCGTAGATTTGATAGACTTAATTTAGTAGATATATTTTCACGTGGTGGAAGATTTGTTTTAAAGCTGTAGATTTCGATTGGATTTTCTTTTTTGATGGAAGATTTTGTTACACCATCAGTAGACTTGTTATCTAATTTTGGTAGACTTGTTCTATTTGACGGTAGATGTTTGACTATTTAGGTTGTTTGACCAGCTACAGTAGTAGATGTTTTGTTTGAATGGTAGATATATTTCCTTCACTGGGAGATTTATTTCTCGGTAGTCTACAGATGGTTCATATCACCGTATTGGTAGAGTTATTTATGTGGTGATAGGCTTAAGTATTGATTGTCAAGTGACGCGCAGTTACGGTAGACCTTTATTGATGGTGTCATGGTAGAGTTAATCTTTCTGAAATTACTAGTCTAACATCATCGGTAGATTTAGATTTAAAGTGTTACGGTAGACTATTGTATCTTGAAACGTGATGGTTTATAGTTGACTTTTGAAAACTCAACACTTAAATCTACCACGTACATATACTATGAAGTGTGGTGTTTTCTACTCTTTGTTTATTCGTGGCACATGTCGATAGTGATTTCATACGTGATTAAGATAATGATTAGTAAGTTGAAGAGCCATTCAATTACATTAGAAAACTTGAGGATCTTCATCCGCATAAGTCCTATGTTTTGTAACAGAAATACATAGACATAAGGATAACAATACTAAGAGATGGGATGAAATAACATATTAATAGAAGGGAACACGACAACTAGCATCATAATTCAAATTTGAGAAGTTGGTATTGAATGAATAGGTAGCACTCCTCGCAGCCAGCAATTCGGTGCTGGAATTTGCAACTTGGAAAATCATCATATCAAAATGCATTTGGCAACAAGCCTCAGCTCTCGTTATTCATCCCCTTCTTTGTTCCTGAGACTTCTTCACCAATCAGAATCATGTACTCCATGCGTGATCTCCACCCTGCAATACGGTCTAGAATTTCTAGTCCTCGTGTGTATAGACCATATGCGGTGGCGCATATAGCGAACATTAAAGCTGCATGGTCTATCCCCTCTTTAGAAGCCTTGTTGAAAAGTTTGACTGCATTTTCAATGTCCCCCTCAACAGCTATTTTAGTCATCCCGTGCAGGTATAAG